GTAGGGGGCTGAGCACAATGAAAAAGCACAGGCAATAGGAACAGGAAATAACATAGAAGAGAAGGAGAAAAAAGCTATTTCTCTCTCTTTCTTTCCTATATTATTCCCTGTTCCTATTGCCTGTGCTTTTCATTGTGCTCAGCCCCTGAGAATCGCTACATCAATATGGCGAAAAGCAGTCCCCCCCGCACGCTTGAATTACCATCCCCTCTCGCCTAAACTAGGACTTTAGACTCAGTCCCTCTATTCCTTAAGCCGAGAGCACAAGCTTTTACATAAAGCATAACGCATAAGCATAAGGAAATTGATTGGTCTATATATAAAGCCGAGAGCACAAGCTTTTACATAAAGCATAACGCGTAAGCATAAGGAAATTGATTGGTCTATATATAAGCATAAGCAAATGCATAAGGAAATGGACCAATCAATTTCCTTATGCTTATGCGTTATGCTTTATGCAAAAGTCTGTGCTCCGGCCATTAGTCCGTGGATGGCAACTACTAATTAAAAAGCGCCATTTCTAGTTATTTCTGGTAAGACGGAGCGACTGACGACGAGGCATTTGCAACTCATTGTAGAACTGACCAAACTTTTACTCGAAAAATTGTACTCTAGTTTGGCAAGAGGAAGAACTATCGAATATCGAGCATCGTTAATCATTGTTAATCATTGTTAATTGTTGCGTGAATTAATCAGTATCAGTGTGCATTGATGTTTTACCAAGTGAATAACTGTGAATAAAAATAAAATTGTGAATAACATATATTATTATGTTAGCCAATAATTAAAACTAAATGATCCACATCTGAAGAATGCTGCTAGATTATCACGTCCCATTGCGTTAAGAAGATCAGTTCTCATAAAGTGAGGTTAGTATTTGCTTCTAATTTTAGTCATTTCACGCATTGAAAGTTCACATTTAATTATAGTACTAGAAGACGTTCTCATTGTCAGAAATATATTACGGTTTTATCATGGAATTTAAATTTCGCAAAATAATGTTTCTGTAATTATACATATAATAATTATTTATTATGCAGAAATTATCTTAACTAGGTTTATTATTGAAGAATAAGACTAATGGAAACTCTAAAATTTAAACATTATGCCAAAAAATTATACAGAAAACTCTTAAACGGTTGATAAATATGCAGAACACTCGTTTTATTTTAATAAAATAATAAAATTGCACACTCTGTAAATATCTGTTAAATACACTGTTAAAAATGCCACTTTTTCAAATAGGAAAATCGGTTTTAATGTTTCATATTTTGATAATAAATATACTCATTCGATATATATATATATATATATATATATATATATATCTTACTATATAAAATAAAAAATATTTAATCATTGTTGAATTAATCTAAAATTTATTAATTATTTAAATAAATTCTCGCAATTGTTTTTCCTCTAATCTAGAAGGTTTAACCTCTAATCTAATCGAGATAAGACTACATTGGATTCAACTAGAATCAGAGGAAATAATTTCAGATATAATTCTGTTTACTAAAGATTACTTAGTTAATAAATGGTTTTAAATTCAAATAAGATTAAAATTAATATGCACTATTAGATGATTCAAAAGATGGTTTTAATCAAGGGATAAATTGTTGAGAATATTGCGTACAAACACAAGATGAATTAGATATCATTGTTACATTTGTATTTGAAATAGTGATTCACCTTTTGATTATAATACTTTATACCTTGCTTTTATAGCAAAAAGTGTTGAATAAATATACTTTTATCAAGATACAAAATAATATAATTATTGAATAGATAATTTCAAAAAAATGACGTTTCTATTAATTTGTAAAGACTCTGATAAAGCATCGAGTGATTGTTTTAATTCACAGTTCTATATTTACATGTGATATCAGTTTCAAACATAATAAAACTGAAGTTCTAAAATATTTTCTTTTTGCTTGAATTTTTATTAATCGACATTATCTAAAGTAGCTTTCTTAAGAAGCCTTTTTTAAGATGCAAAATAATGACAGAGATGTCCTTTTCGGTTTTGGATAACGATACTAAAAGTTTTTATTTGTCTATATTTTTTTGTTCTGATTATTTAATTTTTAAAAACAAGAAAAGTGATACAAATTGATTGTGAGATTTGAGTAATAGAATGTAAAGTTTCTTACAGTATTCTTTGAAATTAGAAATTTGCTCACAGTGTATGCAAAGTGAAACGTTACATGCATTCAAACATCACGATGACTGGTGTCGACAATGTTTTGGAGAATCTTTTTTTGAATACTTTACATTTTACAAACTTTTTACTGATAAGAACTTGGCAGTAAAAAGTTTGAACAAAAATTTGAAGTCCAAATTCTTGATACATTGTATCTGGACAGTGAGAAAAATATATGTGAGCATTGATTCTTTTTTAAAAATTATTTTTTTGATGTTTTTTATTTCTTCTTTTATTTAACAAGTACTTCTCATTACTTTTAAAGTAGACCTTGTTCACTAAAACTTTTATTGTTACATACACCATTTTATTGTTACACATTAACAATGAAATATATATTTTTAACGAGTTGTGTTGATAATTCGGAAATGAGTATTCTACATATTTATCGGAAAATTTCTTATTGAATTAAACCGCTGTTTTCTATTTCCAATGTATATTACTATATTTTTACTCCAATCGAATATTATGAGTCGATATTATAAGTCGACCATACTTACCTATCTACCTACATTAAATCGATTAGCTTACATTTGAACTATTCCAGGTATCTAGAAACTAGATGCTCATTTTCTTTCTTTGAATTCTTCGAATAGTTTATTCGTATGCGCATATATGAATACTATTTTGCCGCATGCGTATGCGAACCTTGAACAAAATCACGTGGTCCTGGACCGGTTTCCGTGGCAACTATGACTTATCGATTCACCTAGGCGTCAATAGGCGTCGTAGGGTGACCAAGCCTACGGTGCGGTAGATAATGGGAGGACTCGGTTCCCCTTGCTGCGAAAGGATTTCGTAGAATAATGAGGAACAACGCTCAAGGACGTTCAAGATTGTTTGCAACTACGCTGCACGGAGATGTGGAAACAAGAAGATTTTATTGAAATTATTCTATTAGACAAGAAACAAATTTGTATCACGGACACAGAGAAACTTGGTGACTTCATCAACGGCGTTTTTCTGAAGCAGCAAATTTACTAGTGACCTATATATGCAGGCTAGATAATTAAGGATTATTAATATTTGTGGAAGAGACAAACAGGTATGGAAAAACAAAAATAAAAAATTTATTCAAAATGAAGAAGCAAAAATGAAAATATTGCAACGTTCTTTTAGCAAAGAGAGAGAGAGAGTGTGCGTGTGTGTTAATGTCAAATTAAAGGAAAGTGAACGATGATAAAAAATAATTATTTTTCAGATGATTAGAAAGTAAAGCAATAAAATGAAAGACAAAGGAAAGAAAGAAAAGTAGGATGAAAGTCGATTGACTTGAAAAGTCGAGTGAAAGTCAAAAGTAAATAGTCTGTCAATAGTAGAGAAACACACGGAGGTAAAAGGATTTGGAGAATACAACTCTGAATGTTTCAGATTTTTTAAATAATATTTAGAAATACTTGACATATTAATCTTAATTTTAAATGTTATATATATATGCAGTTTTGTGTGGGACTGTAGTTTCTTATAATCATGTTGACTATTAATTCTTCAAGTGTTAAGGATGCGTATATGCGCAACGAAGTGTTTAACTCTTAACAATTGTGGAGTTAATTACATAGTATTAAACGGGTCAAAGTTTAGAATAATTATGCAGTAATAATTTCAAGCAAAATATTCATGGTTTCTAGATTAGACGACAATTTTCGATTTATAAATGCATGAGAAAATAAGAATGTAACATAAAAAGACTTGGAACAAGAACAAGGACAAGAGAAGGGTTTGCACGTAGATGTAATGCCAGATTAGATCGATCGACTGAGAGCGCTAGAAACACAAATATATCCGGAATAAAAAAGAACACCTACGACGAGGAAGATCTAGGAATGCTAAACGTGGACCGTGCCAAGCGTGTGATTGTTCGGTGCTGCTCGACGCAGAACACGCTGCTGCACGTGCCACCGGAGCACAGACGCTTCCGACGTATCCACGGTCTACAATTGCCGCTGCATCCCCAGCAAGTGATCGGTTGGGTGCTGTTGATCGTCGTGTTCACCGGCACATTCGTCGTGCTGCTGACGACGCCGCCACCGTTGCCGGCAAACTTGCGCTTCGTTCTCACACCGCTCTTCGCCACGCTGTTCCTGCTGCACGCGTTGACGCATCTGACAGTGCTGTTGCTGGATCCGGCGGATTCGGAGGTGCGCGCTCAGCCTGCCAATCAGGTTGTGCCGGAGTTCGACCGTGCGCTGCACCGACACGTGATCGAGAACGGCCGGTGCCACCTGTGCAACATTACGACGCGCGGCCAGCGCACGAAGCACTGTTCCGTCTGCAATAAGTGCGTACCGCGCTTCGATCACCACTGCAAGTGGCTGAACCATTGCATCGGCGGCCGCAATTATCCGGCTTTTCTCGCGTGTCTAGCCTCGACGCTCGTCATCGCACTCGGGGTCACAGCGCTCGCTGTGAGTCAACTGGTGCTCGTCAACACAAATCTGATCGTAAGCGACCAACATTCAGGAGGTAACAGCAGCGACACAAGCATGAACAACGTCACGGCATCGTCGCCATTATGGCCGGCACCTGGCACCGGCTCGCTCGTCCTCGTCACCGTCGTCGGCGTTCTCTCGGCCATCGCCGCGGTTCTGCTTATACATCTCTGCTTCTTCCACGGCTACATCGCCTGCCTCGGCCTTACCACGTACGAGTATGTGCGTAACAAGCGAGAGAAGAGCATTGCCTCTGACGGTGTTGCCACCGACAACACCAGGACAGCATCTTCCGACGACGGTACGCCAAGTCTCTTCTGCAGGAATAATCCGTTATTCGGAGATGATATAGGCACAATGACGAGAGTGACGACGGCGACGACAGACGTGTACGTCCGTTCGACCCACGAGGAAATGTGTGTCGGCAAAGACGCCGCGGAGAACGGCGAGGACGTTTTCCCAAAAACGCTGCCCTCGACGAGAGTCAGCCGAAACTTCCGTCTCTGTTTCTCGTACGATTCGCGCACCACCGAGACTTCCATCGAGGTCTCTTCCTTGCCTTCGCGAACGACGGATGTGTCGGAATTGAAGAATCATGTGGAATCGCCGGACGCAAAGTCTTCTTCCACGCCATCACCGGTGTCCTGCTGTTTTTCTATCATTAACCATCCCGACAGCAGGCACGACAGAAATCGGAAGCGTTCCGAAACTACGAAGCGCTCCTGCGGAACGATGAGAAGGATACAGACGTTCTTACAAGCTCGCTTGAGAAAAAATTCCAGACAAAGATCATCGACGACGATCTCATCGTCGGCGGCCCATCGTCATTGCGGCAACAGAATAATTCCGCAGGCGGCCGGTTCTCCGGACGTCGCGGATCCCGCCGAGCGTGAGAACCAGATCGTCGAGACACTGACGATGCCACTGAACCTTGACCCACGTCTGCCAGCGAGGTTGCCTGCTCTAGAGCTTCCGCGTGCTGTCCAGATCGGTAAAGTACCTCCAGGCCCGGGCGACATCTCCATTCTCGGGCTGACCATGACACCGTCCACCGCAATGTCCAAGTGGAATCAAACTCACCTTCGCACTCGGCGAAGCACGAGCTTCTCCAAGAAAAGGCCACGTTTCAAGGTCGGCTCGCACATCGTCACGCAGACCGTCGCCCAACTGTCGCCGATACCGGAATCGGAATTCTCGAAACCGGCCACGCCGAGATCGCCGTCGCGATCGGGCCCCGCCTTTGTCTTCCCGCCGTTACGCGAGTAACATTATCAGCAACGCCGTACCGAGGTGCCGCTATCTTCTTTTCAGCTGTATTGCTATCTAGATTTATACTAAATGCAAAAATCTCTGTCCAAGAGTTCGGACCAAGCTCTAGCATCGCGCAGACACAAATCTAAAGATATACTTACAATCAGTATACATGTCTAGTCATCATTAATATTTGAACATTTTTCACACTTTTACATTTAAAAAATTTAAACTTTTTATTTAGCGCTGTATAAACTGAATTGCAGTCGCAAGTAACACGTGATTTGTGCCCACAGATAATGACCGAGACCACGGAATCGTCCGACAAGACGAATTCCTCGAGGAAGCCCAACGTCTGGGAAAATCTAGGTTCACCCCGCTGCATAGTCGCACCGATGGTAGATGCGAGCGAATTGGCATGGAGATTGCTTAGCAGACGACACGGCGCCCAGCTTTGTTACACTCCCATGCTGCACTCCTCCGTGTTTTGTCGGGATCCTAAGTATAGGCGGGAAGCCCTCACCAACATCAGCGAGGATCGTCCTTTGATTGTGCAGGTATGCATTGTACATCAATTAGAGGATGATCTTGTAGATTATAAGTGAGTATTTTCAACAAGATACAGATAAACGCAACAACTTGATGAAATGCCTTTAATCTTCAATATAGTCGTTAGTTTATGTTAAGATAGATTTTTTTATTCTTTCATAATAATTTTTAATTTATTGTCATTTGTAACTACAATGTACAATAATTGTTGATAACACTTAAACTGAACACGTGGGTCACTGGCGTCCGGGCCAATTTCTTCACTGAAAGATCGCCTGGAAAATTCTGAAAAAATGTTAACATATTCTTTGAAGTCTAAAGTAAGATTTTATACCATATTATATACCAATACCATATACCAATTTAGTAAGATTTATACCATAAAGTTTAAGAAAAAATATTTTTAAATATTATATTTTTATCATTTTTTAGAAGAACTGCAATAATTGGTGTTTTACATAAAAATTCATTTAAAAAAATGATTTAAAAAAAAATCTTTCCAGGGATTTTTAGTATAGTTAGAAACTAACTAAGTAAATTAGAAACGGCCTGGACACGAATGATATTCAATTTGAGTGATGAAATAACTTATCTGTATCTTATTACGATTCTAATTAAAAAAGAAAGTCGACTCTTCAATTTTGACATATAGTGACAAGTTTTGGATATCGTGCTTTGCGGAAATTTCATCAATTTTTAAATGACGTAGATGCTTATATAGGCGTCATTAACGCTTAAGGAGTTAGTCATAAAATTGTTTTTGCGTAATAGTAATTTGTCGTTTTTTCAGTTTTGTGGTAATGATCCAAAGACACTATTGGAAGCAGCGCGTCTGGCCGAGCCATATTGCGACGCAGTGGACATCAACATTGGTTGTCCGCAGGCAATTGCAAAGCGTGGACATTATGGAGCTTTTTTGCAGGATGACTGGGATTTGTTAAGGAATATCGGTATATATGTTACATTCATTTATAGACTAATTTTTAGATATTTCAGAAAAATTATTCTTTTTTTTCTTTTGAAAAACTATAATTTAGGATGTAAAATTATAAAATGTATGTTTATTTTAGATATTCTTTTTTCCATTAAAAAAATCTAGTTTAAAATTATTTTAATTAATCTTTTTATTTGAAATTTTTAGAAAACAAAATATAACAAGAATAAAAAATAAAGAGAGATTCAATGTTTTATAAAATTCAAAATATATATCGATAAATTATTCGTAAAAGAAAATTGTTTTGCACTCATTAAAAAAAGTTTAAAATATTACTTTTTAATCACATGATATATAATATTCAATAAAAATCTTTCAGAGTATTTGTTTCTGAAATATAAACTCTCACACAAGCATTCCACAAGCAAGTTGTTCTAAAACGTACTTCTTTATTCGATCGACTTTTTATTTTGTATTCATTTTACATCTAAAGTTATCATTAAATAAGAGAAAAATCTCATGAAGGAATTATTTTCATATTGTAGAAATTTCTTGTTTTTAAAGATTGGTCTATTATGCTTAACAAGTGAGAGATTTAACAACGATGTAATATAATGAATCTCTTGTATATAGTGTCGACTTTAAAGAATGGATTGTGTGTACCTGTCACCTGTAAATTACGAGTGTTTCCGGAGATCAGTCGCACTATAGAATACGCTCGTATGCTAGAGGACGCAGGTGCTAGCTTACTCACTGTCCATGGACGTACGAGAGAACAAAAGGGTCCATTGACCGGATTAGCGTCTTGGAAGCATATTAAAGCCGTAAGGTGGCTATTTCCTCTTGTTTTTTATTCGACATATTCAGTATTATCGTGCACAATGAGCGAAAAATTTTATTCTTTTTTTGTAATATTATGTAATCGAAACTTGCAGTGCGATTTTTGTATTTTATAATCCATCTATACTGTGCAAATTACTTATTTTGCTACTTAAACTTTTATAAACTTTATTTGTCACTCCATATTAATTGCGTATATGACGACATTTTAATTCTATATGCGTTGAATCATTAGAGTAGGCTTTATATTACTTCGCTAAAGCAAAGAATAAACAAAAGACGATGAATCCTGAAACATCAATTATATAATTGCTGAGAAAGTAATGCCTCTAATTTTTTTTCTGTGAAAATTTAATTCTTACAACTATGTTTTTACGTGATGTAAAATTTTCAGATATTTTTTCACAAAGTCACTGTCATTTTGTATTCACTTTTGCCATCTTTGAATCAGACGCTGTATTCCGGACCCGTCAAATTCTTTGCTACGACTCTTGAGGGCTTCACAAACACTTTTCTTAATGATATCTTTGTGGAAAAATAACTGAATGTTTGTCAATGACTGAAGATTACTTTAAGTAAAAACCATAGTTGTAGGAATTGAATTTTCTGAGAAAAAAAAAATTGGAGGCATCGTACCGACCCTCGTAGACTGCATCTCATTGTTAGACTATCGATGTGCTTGTGTCAACAATGGAATATAAAAAAACATTGAATTTAAATATATTGTATCTAGATTTTTTATTTTTTATTTTTGAATTACAAAATTTACATGTTTATTTTTAAGTTAAAAATCTATGAATTTTCTGAAAAAGTTTTATATCAAATTTTATATAATTTCTAATAGCTATATCCACAATTCAAAATTCCAAAACTTTGGCTGCAGATTTGAATTTGGCATCTTAAAAATAAATTTATAAATTGATTTCTTCGCGGAAATATCATTTCTGGTAATAAAGCGTTTTTAATTACATTGTAGTTGAGAAATATGAATATATTATTTGATATTTGATTTTTTAGGGACGCTGTGAAAATTCCTGTAATCGCCAACGGTAATATACAATGTATGCAAGACTTGCAGCGGTGTATCGAAGAGATCCAGGTGCAGGGTGTAATGTCGGCGGAAGGAAATCTTTACAATCCATATATATTCGAGTCTCGTTATCCCGCCTGTTGGGAACCCGCTCTGGAATATTTAGAACTCGTAGAGCGATATCCAGCACCGGCTTCGTATATCCGCGGGCACCTATTCAAGCTGTTTCATCACGTGTATGTACCAATCCTTGTATTATAGTGAATCGCAAATTGTATCACTTAATTGTCGCACATTTGCACGGCATACTTTTAAATAGAGAGTAGATTTTGTTTAGCAGAAAATCAAGAGGAAAGGGAAAATCTGGCGACAAACTCCACCATGGAAGCATTCAGGAGTGTTGCATGTGCCTTGAGGGATCGTTATTTACCGTATCACGAGGGACGCTTGACATGGCAAATAGAAAAGACCGGTAAATAATTTAGTATTTAATCTTTTAAGCGTTAATAATCCGCAATGACATGCGTCATTTGAAAACAAGTATTTTCCACTCATCAATTTTTGCAAAAATCTTAAATGTCAATAATCTCTTAACGTAAATTTTATTGTTTCCTGAAAGAAATCATTTTAAGTAACAGAGCGTTCTTATTTCGTAATTGAAGAGTTAGGAAAAATATTTACATTTTTTTATATTTGCATTTACACATGATTTTTTTATGCTTTTTAGATTATAATTTAGAGTTGCCACCATGGTTGTGTCAACCGTACGTACGAGAACTACCACAAGAGCACGTACAGAAGTTACAGGTAAAATTAAGCATGTGATTAATCCGGGAGTACGCGTGAATAACGAACGCATTAAAATTTATCTTGAATCTTTTTCTACAAGAAAAATATCACACATAATAATATGAAACATGAGCATTTAAACAAAGCCGATTTCTCTGTTGATTTTATTATTTGAAAACATTATTTTCAATTATACGCATCGCAATCCTTCAAATCTACCTTTCGATAACCCCTTAACATTTTAACCATTAAAGATATTAAAACACATTATTACAATAAATGATTTCTACAAACCAATATTTAAATTTACAGAATTTAAAGATTATATATTCTTTTTTATAAAATTATTCATTCTGTATATAAATGTTTTAGAATGTTAAATCTTTACAGCCAAATTTTGGAATTTGTGAATACATTATGGCAATTAGAAATTTATTAAAATAGATTTCGTATTCGCGATTGTTTTGGTACATCGTTTTTTTATTTATTTATTTTATTATTATTATTATTAATTTTATTTAGTATATCTATTTTTTGAGAGTATAAGTAGAATTTTCGCTGATAAGAAAGTTAATTTTTTACACATAATTAACGTTTAATTAGTTATGCATGTATTATAATTAATCAATGACAAATATTTCAATAATTTAAAAAAACAAAAAATAATTTTTAAATAATTTTTGTTTATAATAAAACTGATGCAATGTAATATTTATAACATATATAAAATAAAGTCATCGAAAAATAAATATTTTACGAAATATTCATCCTTCAAGGCAGAATGTATAAATAAAATATCGTATAAATTATTTATTCTTCAATGACATTAATTTAATATTTTTATAAGTAGCACGACTAGAAAAATCGAGACATGTGAAAATCCATAAAATGTTCCACTTAAGAAAACTCAAGTTTTCGAATAAAATCAAAAACACTGACTTTCACATCCCGACAAAAAGAAAAGATAGTGAAAAACGCATAATTTCACTACATGCCTCTTTCAATACTATGACTTTAAATATTTTTTTCATAGAACTATTTATACACATGTACATAATCGTAATTGTATCCGCAAAGTTATTAATAGATTTGAAGATACAATTGAAAAACAAAAATATGCAACAAAATCGACGCGCAAGACTACTTAACCGGGTTAAAATTTTATATTGCATATTTTCTTTCTATTATATGAAAAAAATTTTCTTTACAAAGTAATGATAAGAATTTCCAGGAAGGTGTATCTCGAAAACGAGAATACAAGGATGAGGACGGAAATGAAATATCACGAAAGCGTTCGAAGAAACTCAAACGAATAGCGCGAAGGCCGAATAGAACGTCTATTTCTAAAAGAAGTTCAAATCGATGTCAGGATTGCCCGAATCCCCTGGTTCGTTGAAACTATTTTTTTTTATAATCAACGATCAAAATCTAACATGTTTTAAGCTAACATGATTTTTGAAGAGAAAGTTCTAATGTATTGTTTTACATATTACAGGGTTTTAAATGCGAACATAAATTATGCCGACAATGCTGTAGAAGCAAATGTTACATAGAAAATTTAGACTGTGTCGGTCATAGAAATCTAACCAAGACTAGAAGGCAGATGGCGAAGGAATTTGAGGCGAAGCGTAAGAGCATTGAAAATGTGATATAACATGCTGCATTCAAATATTTTCAATAAAAATGTGTATATAATATTTTAACTTTTGTTTCTGTATGCGAATCTCTTTATCATCTCTATAGGATTGCTTAATTTTATTTTCATTTATTAGTTTAAATTAACATTAAACTTAACATACCATTCGCGACGATATACTTTACACAATATCGTATTTTACAAAACTAATGAGGTAATGTAAAAATCTTGTAAATTTACAACGATATTGCAATAATTTGTACTATCACTGACAAGTTTTTAATTTAAAACTATTACTATACAGACGAAGTTGCCGGAGCGATAGATTTACAAATAGTCAACAAGTCATTGTTCGCTGATTCATGCGATAATATGATCTTGTCTGCTTGCTTTTCCACATCGGCCCGATACTTCTTGCTCGAAAGTAGTAGCACCATCAATAGAGGCAAATGGAGTAACGAAAATCGAAATAATCTTCTAGAGTTAGCACTATCCGAATGCTTATTGAATTTCCAAGCTGAAATTGAAAATGTTAAAATGTACAAAACGCATGCGCACATACATACACGCATTATTATTAGATTGAAGATCCTGTATACTCTATATATACAAAATGTGCTCTAAAACTATCAGTATTTTTAATCCCTTAGGTACATATATGTGCATTATTTGAAAACTAACCGCCAGTAATGCACATATGCATCATTTAAAAGAAATATTCTTTATCTACAAGATTTTTGTGAAACATTATTCACAAATTTTTCAAGTCGCTAAATTCAAATTTTCGATCAAAATTTTCTAACTCTACATTTCAAGATCTAATATGAAACAATGAAAGCCTAAAAAATTATTCTATTCTCATTAAACTTGATTTCTGAGATTTTTTATGATTTTTGAATTCAAAATTGACGTCAATCTGCAGATTACAGATTCAACGTCCTAAAAATTCCAAGTATATTATACATAATTCTAATGTAAATTTAATTGTTTCTTCATAGAATTCATATTTTTGGTAATAAAGCATTTTTATTTTTTAACAGTTAAGAAGTTAATGATTTCCTCGTCAATTTAGAATCGACTTTTCTTGACTTAATAATAAAACTCAAAGCATGCATATGTTACCTAGATAAAGGAAAGATGCATTGAGTGGCGTCGATGCCAATGCAAACCACCAATGAGTCAAGTCTAATGCAGGAGCAAGATAACACAGAGCCATTAAAGCTGCCGTGTATCTCACAGTTGTCCTACGACATAGATCTGGATTTGTAACAGCCATCATTCGATAGCCAGCTCGTGAGTAATCCGCTCTCAAGTTCCAAGAAAGAGCATTGAAGTGTGGAAATTGCCATGTGTACAAGATACTGGACAAGATCCAAGCATCTGGCGTTAGTACACCACTGGTACAAGCTGCCCAACCCATAAGCGGAGGTATAGCACCAACTACGAAAAAGACAATAAGTTACACATGTTTATTACAATACGTAATTGCTTATAAGAAAAATAACTCTTGTTAAAAATATAAAGTTTCCAGAAGAAATAATTAGTAACAATATTTATATGCTTGATGGAATGCACACTCACCGACAGATCCAATCCAAGTATTGGCAATACTAATGCGTTTCATCGGTGTGTAGATGAGCGTATATAAGATAACATTCATGGCACCCAACATCGCCGTCACGCCATTAACTTCATGGTAAAGTATGGATAATCCAACAATGCCAGATACCGCTGCAAATGCTACTGCATGAACAGGCCTGTAATTCATGCCTAATTGTTACCAGTTAATGTCAAATAAAAATCAATTGGAAAAAAAAAAAAAAAAGCAAACTCTTCAAGTACAAACCTAATTCTTTCAAAAAGAAAAAGTTTGAGGGGACTCACGTCAAACGGCCGCGTACCAATACCCGATTCTTAGTCCGCGACATCTGTGCATCAAAAGGAACTTCGAAAAATTGATTAATAGTATTTGCTGTACCAGAAACTAAGCCCGTACCGACGGAGCACATTGTAAATGTGTAAATGTCAAATGGTGCAGGAGCTAATGCATATCCGGCCATGGTCGTTGCTACAACCAAAGCTGTAAACAAAAAAAGTTATTTGATAAACTAAATATTCAAACATTTTTAATTGAAAAATTATATCGATTAAACTTGAATCTCTGAATTATTAATCTAATTTGTCTCAGTTTGAGGCAAATATATGCATTTCTTTGTATATCACAACATCTTTAGTGGTTTACTTTTTACTTATATATATAACTTAGTCAATTAATATAATCATAAAAAGGTTTACGTAAATTGACGTTTAATTAAAAAAAAAATTTTTTAAAATTGAATTTGTTATAATTAGCTGCAACTACTGAATAAATCTAATATACATACATGTCAATTTGATTTTTGACAATTTGAGGTAGTGCTTATGAAGTCTAGTGTAATCGACTATCATAGGTGTCCATTCCGGCTCATCTACTTTACACGGCTGTTTTTTAATTTTGTGCACAACATTCTTAGTGGGAAATGGAATTACTGGAGTCACCGTGACAATCCGTAATTGATCTTCTACATGTTGTGCCGGTTGTTCCATGCACGCAACTTTTGCTGATTTTTGCCTCACTAAACTTTTGGAACACTAGAATATTAAAATTTCCTTAAACAACACAGAACATTGCAATTCAAGTTTTGCAAAGTAATTTTAACGCTACATACCATGATGGAAAATTTTGGCACAAGATTGCATGATATATGCCGACATATTCTCACCGGATGAGTGACAAATAACATGATACTTTTTAACGTTAATCAGTCACTTCCATTGATCTAAATATAAAGTAAAATAAATATTGTGTTTAGAGAAAGCTTAATCATAACTCGAGCACGGATGAATTGTAATTCTGTCGCGCACCACATTTTCTCATCAATATTTCTTGTTATGCAAGAAAACAATAAGTTATGTTTAGAAAAGACAGCAGTTGTACAATCATTGAATAGCATATAATGGATATATACTTCTGAATTTACTGATTTTTTAATTTAATTCACAGAATAATAGGTTAGCTGTGTTAACTTATGTCTCTTTCATAACACATCTGCAATTTGCCTGCAATCACTTCGGAACATAACCTATCGGACAGACAATTCGCACTTACCGTCTTAATGTGGTTAAGTCATACATTCATCATATATTGCTCACATGTTTATTATTATCAATTATAGGTTTGTTCTTTATTGCCGAACTTTCTGCACTAGTGTGTAGGCTATGCCGATTACAGAGCTCTCGACGTTACCAACCGAGACTAGAGAAAGTCTAGAGACTCACGTGCGTTGTGCGAGAAAAGAAGTACGGCCTGATCCTTTGTAAAGACAAGACGTAATACATAGTTTTCTGATATATATATATATATATACTACACGTCTCTCATAGTGTTTATATCCTAATACGCAAATTCTTTCGACCTTTTGGAGCTATTGTGGGCCTC